TTGAAATTTTACAAGAGCACAGAGATGCCTGTTAGCAACAAACATCCCAGCTCACCACAAACAGGCACCAGAGGAAGCTGGGAGCTGCTGGTGGAGTAGTGGGTGTTGGATGGATCGGTCAGGGCATCTGAGGAGAAAACAGGTCTCACTTCACAGAGGAGGCACCCCAAGAAGAGCCCTCTCTCCTCCATCCATAGAGCATTCAGTGAGAGAGGGAACAACCCAAAGGGAGATATCCCTGCCCAGGGCACACAGGGACAGCCTTTCTCCCAAAACACTCCCAAAATGGACTCCTTAAAAAACAGCACGGACCTGAAACGGGAGCCCAGCCCAGAAACATTTCCCAAATCAAACAATAAACAAGGGGCCATTGGAGGTTTCCCTTACACTGCAGCTCCTGATTAATCCCCACAGTAAACACAAAAGAAAAAACCCACAGATAGCTGGATGCTATCTGTTTAAAGGCACAAATGGATGCTAAAAGTAGTTAAAGGAGCCCAAGCAGAGGCACGGCAGGTTTGGGAGCAGGAGGGGAGTGTGGAGAAGGCCATGGGCTCTAGTGAGGGAGGGAAGAACAGCAGGATTTGTGCCAGCCATGCCCAGCAGCCCTTAACCCACTGGAGCCTTCCTGCATGCTTTGCAAGGTCTGTCACCCTGGCAGGAGGGGGTGCCCCCTCACCACCCCTGATACACCTCAGCCCGAGCAAGCTCTTCCCTTCTAGAGGACTCTGAGGCCAGGTGGGTTGGTTGGAATGCAGGACACGGGCTCTGGGGGAATGGTCAAGCAGCAAAACCACAATTCCTCACATGGAAAAGGGCCAGGACACCGAAACTAAACCCCTGCACCCAGGGACTAACACTACACAAGGCTGGTTTAATGAGAAATGGACATTTGAGGCTTAACAGCTCTTGCTGGCAGATTCCCCCCTCTTCCCACTGATGTTGTTTCTCATACAGTGCACCCAGCTAATTAATTACAGAGCACAATCCAATCAGTCAGGCCATCCTATTGCAGTTAAAGGCATTTAAGAGATAATGCCATGAAACTCCAGATGGACTGGCCTGACCCCAGACTCCAACACCACTGAGGTGCTCAGGAGATGCTGCCACTCCAGCTGACATCCCTGATCCAAACACTCTGGAAAAAGCCTTCAGACTCCCTGTGGGTTGGGTTTCTGAGTCCCTGCTGACTTTACCAAGAGATATGCTGTCCTGGCTCACTGACTGCTGCCCACAGAGTACACACCAGCTTGGCTCAACACAAGTGCAGGCGAGGCAGACGCCACCTGCCTACTTCTGCCGGCTCCAAGTTTGCTCTTGGGATGGCAGAAGGACAGATCTGAAGGCCAGATGCCAGCCCATCTTCTCCCCACTGCTGCCAACACATGACCCACACACAATGAGCTTCAGCAGTGGTTGCCTCGAGGTGTCCTGCACCACTGATGTTGATGTGCCAGGGCAGCCTGATCCCTTCACATCTCACCATACAACTCCACCTCTCCACTGCTCTCCCAGGTATGAAGAGAGGATGGCCTCTGCTCACCAGCAGCATGGACTGGCCTCACTGGAGATGGGCTTTGGTGGCAAGTGGATGTAGGAGAGTGGCTAAAGCAATGGGATGCTGTACAACCAGCCTCTTTATGGTTATTACTGTAGGCAGTGATGTGCTGATCTCCATATGGGATGTTCTTAGCTTTGCAGGGATGGCTTAAATCTCCTCCCTGTGCTGAAAGTGTGGGAGTTCTCCCTCCTTAGCGCTTCAGTTATTGGTTGAAGTTATCAGATCCCTTTAACAAAGGTGTGGGGTTGCATTAACCATTTGGTCCTGAATCAGCCACTGTCCCTTGCACAACCCCAGCAAGGGGTTCATTCAGTGGGTGCCTTTGGTACCACAAGCAGCCTTTTTTCCTTAATCACACCCATCTGAAGCCCAACCCCATCCAGGTATGGCTGGGATCCCTGCTGATTCCCAAGCCACTTGCTGCAGTGGTATTAAAGGAAAAACCCACAGTGCCAGATCCCGAGCATCTCCACAAGGACTCAGTGTGAGTATGATGCTCCGTGCCAGCTGCACTTCCAGCTGCCTCATGTTTGATGATGAAAGTGGATGATTCTGTCATTTACTGATCCTGCCCTTGGTTGGTTTTCCTGCCCAGAGTGAGAATAAGCTCTTGGATTTGCAAACATTTTGAGGATTGTGGGCTTAATTTTTTTTCCCCTTCTTATTGTGTGCATGTCAAAAGCTCTTACACCTTGATCCAAAGCCCAAAGTCAAGGTGGGGGATATACATCAAGCCTAAATATGCTCCTGTCACAGGTGGCACCAAAAGACTGTTGTGAGTGAGGGTTCTGCTCTCACTTGGTCCAGCCCATTTCCTGGATGTTTAACCTCCAAGGAAAAGTGAGGAGGAGACTCTGCTCCTCAATCATATCTCCAAAATGCCTTTGTCAGACACTCAGGCACAGCTAACCACAACGAGAGACAGAAAGCCTCCTCTCAGAGATGTCCTCCCTCAAGTCACCCCTGCCCAGATACCCAGCTCTCCTGCATCAGGAGCATCCAAGCAGGCCACAGCAGTGAGCACCAGGAGCATCCACAAGGTTTGCACCCAGACAACAGCCTACGAGTTTCACTAATGCAGATTTGCAAAGGAGGGATGTGACTTTGGCAGGACCAGAGCACAGTTACAAGCAAATGGCAGCGTTCACCAAGCACAAGTGGGAAGGAGACAGTGACAAAATGATGTTTAATAACTGGGTCTTCCTGAAAACACCATCTCTGCGCGTCTACAAAACTCACTATCTTACAAAGATGTTTACTGAATGTCCTCTTACAGCGCTAGAGAAAGATGCCAGAGATTAGCATAGATGAGACAGGACTGACCCCAGACCTCTAACACCAACTGCTGTTTTAATGCTGACAGGAACTGCACAAGGGCTGGCTTGTTACACCCAGCACTGAAATGAAGTACAGCTAAGTCATTATCTTGGACCCTAAAACAATGAACATAACTACAATAACACAACACCATGACTTCACCCAGAAAAGCAGCAGCACTAGGTCCTCATACCACATCCCCTCCAACAAGCCAGCAGGGATGGGGGCAGTATTTCTTTACAACCTATGTCCCATGGTCCCCTGGGAATGAGGACAAAGAAGAGCTCAGCATATCTGGATGAACAATGAAATATTATGTCCTTTTTCATCCCACTGGAGGGTCCCAGACCAGGATGGTACAGGGTCTGGACAGAGAGAGGCCTCATTTTGTGGTAGCAATATGGCCATGGTGCAGTGCCACAGCTGGAGGAGATTCTGCTCTCTGATCCAAAGCTGGCTCCAGGGGCCAACAACCATGGTGCAGACAGGACAGGAGATGAGGAGACAGATGGTCCATGCATCCCAGTACTGCAGACCAGGCAGGACTGGGGACATTCTCCATGGAAGCCAAACTCCCAGCCATTTAGAGAGGGAAGAGGCTTTTCCCCGTGGAGTCAAAGAACTGAAACTCTTCAATTGATTATCTTGAGAGTTCCTGTAAACCATTTCAGGGATTTTGGCAGGAGGAGAGAGGAGAAGCTGTCTGATAATCCCTGAGGCCATCCCACTGTACGTGCCTAAAAAACAGCTCCAGAGTGCCCTGGTTCTGGAGTAATTCCCTCATTTTTTGCTCCTGGATGCCCCATGAAGCAGGGGCATGTCTCCTAATGGCCCCACAAGGACTCTCTTGGGAATTGACTGAAAAGCTGAACAGAAACAAAGCGAGGCTGCAAACTCATCAGCCCCTCGGAGGATGGCACCGACTTGAGATTGTGCTCTCAGCCCAGACCACCTACACTGCTCTGAGCCCCCGAAACAGTGCACCAGAGAAAGTTCTTAGCCTTCGACATCCATCTTCCCTTCCCACAGCTGCAGCACCAGCATCACTGCTGGAGCCTGCACCATCCCATTTTCTGTACCCTGATATGAACCCTTCCAATTAAACCGCTGAACTGTTCCCAGCTCAGCCTCCCATGCATGAAAACGTCCTGTTATTTCGCACCTGCCAAGAGCTGTGTCCCAGCAGATCTATCTCGAACTGACACTTGAGGATAATTAAACCTCTCTCTCTCTCTCTCCTCTGTTAGCAGCACAGCAGATTAAAGGAGAGCCCTGGGTCCCTCTGGTTGCTGTTGCAGTGGGTTGCTCCTACACAAGTCAAGGAACTGAGATAAGACTCAGTTTCTCAACAGAGAATGGGCAAGGGAGCAGGGGGCCAGCCTGGCAATTTTCCCTAATTTAGCAGGGGAGTTGAGCAAGATGTAAGAGGCACACAAGCAGCTTCCCTAGCCAGGCAGATCATCTGGTGAACAAAGAGCTGGAAACCAAGTGTCTGGGATCAAATTGAACCCCTGTTGTTGTTAAACCTGGGGTATCATCCGTGATGGAGCTGTCAGTCTTTAGTGATACAGCTGTGGCATCCAGGTACCCTTCTCATCTCCTCTAGCTCAAGCACAAGCAAGGATTGGCTCCCTTTGCCCCCCCAATCTGGCAGTACAGGGTGCCAGGTGCCCCAAAGTTGGCCAGTTTCAGGGAGCAGTTGGCAAGATGGGAACCTGTCACCCTATGCTGCCCTCTGCCCATCTCCCATGCCAGCTGCCTGAGGTTACTGGATGCATCCAACCTCACAGCCGAGCTTCGATCGGGGCGGTTTTGAGGTTGGCGCTGAGCATCTGCCATTACTCCGAGCTGGGCCTCCAGTCCCTCGAGCAATGGGGGACCCCAGAGCACGGCGACCCCACCTCTGCCTGCCCCAGCTGTTTGCACCAGGGAGCCCTTCACTCCGCGGGGGAACCCTTCCCTCATCCCAGCCCCGCTGCGGGGTGACCAAGTGCCACTTGCTGAGTGATGCGCTGCAGAGCCGCAGGACCCCAGGGACCATGGGTGTCCCCCCTGCCTCCGGGAAGATGGATATCCTCTCCCCCCAGCCCCATCCCGGTGCCCCCGATCCCCTCCGCCCCCGTTACCTCCGCGGGCTTGGGCGGCGGCCGGGAGGGACGCGCCGCGCTGCAGCTGGGTTCGACTCCCCGGGGCTCGGCGCATCCTCTGCCGCTCGGGAGGGCTCGGCCGGGCTCCCTCGTCCCGCTCCCCGCCGCTCTTCGCCTTCCTCCGCGTTCCTCTCCCGCTTACCCGCATACCCCGGGGCTGGCGGCTGCTGCCGGGCTCCGCTCGCCGCCGCGGCGCCCGGTACCTCCCGCAGCAGCCGCCGCCGTAACGAGGCGCCGCGCCCCCCGCCCGCCTCCGCCTCCTCCCCGTTCTCGACCCCGGGATTGCTTTAAAGGGAGAGCGCCTGCATAGCCAGCACGGGGACAACGTGTTGTTTGACATCCCTTCCAAGATGCGCCGCACCCCTCCTGGCTCACCATCACCCCCTCGGGCTCCCTGGAGTGCTGGGTGTGCGATGACGATAAGTCCCAACAGCTGGATGCACTGATGGCCCTCGCCCTCTCGGCAGGCCCCCTTTTAGTGAGCACATTCATTCATTCATCCATAAAATCCTTATCCCACTGGCTTGGTTTGCCTTACCCCTTTTCCAGGGCTGCAGGGAGCGGAGCCACCAAAGGCTTGGCACGCCAGACCCTGTCCAGGAGAGAACTGCGAGCCCCTTTCCCAAAGCTGACACCCTGCCACGCTTCTGCTTCAGATATCATCAGCTGTTTTCATTTTTCTCCTGCCAATATTATCCTCATCCTTATTCAAGAGGGAGCCGAGGCTTACAGGTCTGTGGGTTTTAATCAAAACTGGAATTCTCTTCACGCAGTCACTTTATCTCTGTTTGTCTTGGGAATGAAGCAGTGTGTTTGGTGAGGTGTTTTAGAGCAACTCCGGGAGTGAGTGCATCCCTGCCCCGAGGAATCTACAGCCACCACAGCGAGGTCAGGACCTGAGGGCAGAAGCAAGCAGAGGTGCTGGCAGCTCGCTCAGGTGTCTGGAACTGGGATCAGGGCGGTGAGTTTGGACACCACTGCCCAGCCCAGCTCTGCAGCATCCCTCAGTCCCGATGCTCACTGCTTTCCCGCTCGATGTTTTCCATCAGTGAACACCATCTGTACCGGAGCAGGGGATTGTTATGACCTTTAAGGCTCCATCCAGTGGCCATTTCCATCAGATGCTTTTGTGTCTTACTACGATCCCAGGCATGCTGCCAGACTCAAAACATGCTGAAGGCAGGGAACATCTTTCCTGCAGTTTCAGGAAGGAGATGCATCATGAAAAAACCTGCCCAGATGTCAGGATTGGGTCTAGCATGATTCCTGTTCCATTAGCACTAGAGATAAATGAGATAGGAAAGCCCACTTGGTAGGAGGATTGTAAAGCAATTAATGAATAACATTAGTAATGATCTTATTCCAGCTCTGCTTATTAACACAAGCTTTGCTTGAGTCCACCATGATGTGCTATATAAAGCAGCTATCTCCTGAATCTGATTTCCTGTTTGGAGATGATCTCTAGCTGAGAAATTACCTGAGATACTCAAAACTGATTAGAGTCCTCATCAGCAGATTCTTCACCCATCCTTTAGGCAGGCCCTAGAATATAAAGAGAAATGAGAATAATTTCATGCACAAAGTAAAATCTGGAGTTGGTGGCCCAGCTGTGTGCCATTCCCTGAGGAAAATCCAGAACAAGCAGTGATGGCAGCAGCAGGTTGCCAGCCCAAATCCAGGTGCTGTGAGCTGCCCTGCTCAGGTGGAAGCTTTTGCTCCTGTGGTACCTTCCAGGCTGGTGGCTGACGTTGGCTACCTTTGGTTCATCATCCCTTGCACCCCGAGCACTTTGGAGGGCTGTCCCAAGTGCTGGGTACCTGCCAGCCCCTGAGTAGAGGGAGGTTGGTGTCAGCAGGCCCTGCCTGTGGGAACAGTGCTCCCTACCTCGGGAAGCTGAGGACCTCTGGAGATGCCGGCAGCGCACCGTGCACCCAGCTATCCTGGAAGGAGCCTGGAGTGGCAGGACCCTGCTGGCTCCCACTCCAGGCCCCTGCAGTTGCAGGCAGCCTGCTTTCTGCTCCCTTCACATGCTGGTCCAGCTCCATTTGCAAAAGCAATGAGGTATGTTTCCTCCTCTGCTTCCCATGGCTAAAAACTGTCTTGCAGCTCCCATGGTTAAAAATTGTCTCCTAATTTCCAGCTTACATTAGCCAGTTTAAGCACATTTGTTCTTATGCCAGCACAGTCTTTCAGCTTAAATGGTTCCTTTTTGTACCTGGTGTTTATTTGCTTCATATATTTATGGAGAGTAATCACATTCTTGCTTTGCCTTCCTTTGCTGGACTAAACAAGCCAAGTGCTTTCAGCTTCATAAGACAGGCTCTCCATTCCCCCACCACGCTATTAGCCCTTCTCCACACCACTTCTAGCACAAATTCATCTTGTTGGAAGATGGGCCATCGTGGCTGTGTGCATCTCCCAGTGCTTGGGACTGCCATCAGTGCCTGCTCCACCTCTGCTGATGCCACCCCAAAGGATGCAACTGCAGCTCCAAGCATGGTGGTGCTGCACATCTGCTGGCCTTTCCCATGCCAGATTGTCATCTGGATGAGGTGACACTGGCAGGAGACCTTGCCTTCTGCCTCTGGTCAGCAGCAGGGAAGTTGGGTGCTCCTGAGCACTAAGGAGAGCTGGTTTCTCTCTTCTCTGCTGCACTGCAATGGGGTACTTATGGAACTCTCCCATAGGCGGTTATAAACTTCCATAGCCTTAAATGAAACTCAGAGGATGCACAGACTCATCCCTAAACACAAGAGGAAGATGGTATCACCATGCTCTGATGGTCACTAATAACTTTACCTCTCCTGTGCTATTCTCAGCAGAGATAAACCTCCAGTGTCTGATGAGCCAGAACAGAAATATCCAATGGCTCTCTGCTCTTTTCTATTTTTGCTGCAAGCTGGTTAACCCTGAAATCCAATTACTGCTCATTATTCAGTGGAACTTGCCTCTTATCAAATGGGCACACTGCAGGGCTGCTATACTGACTCCCAGTGCTAATGGAGCCACAAATTACTCCTGCTGTGCTCACAGACCCACAGGTGTGAGCCCCGGGGTACTTCTCCAGCACCCCACACAGGCAGAACTCCAGGATGCTGACTCCTGCATCCCTTCCTGGGGCTGCCCATTGCTGCTGACTACACTGGCCATTGGATAATGCAACCACACGCTCCCCAGAGCCGTGGGCTTGGCTCCCAAGGTATGTCCTTGCTGAAGCAAGTCTGCCCAGACACCCTTGGGTGTCAAGGGCCGGTCCCACTCCCTGGCACAGGATGATCTTATCGGTGGATGCTCAGAGGAGTTGCACGGGCTGAGCCAGCGGCAAGCAGCCCTTAAGCTCCAAGGGTTATTTCACACAGTGTGAAATGCCAGGGGCTGATCTAGGCACGCCTTGGATTAGCCTGAGAGGCTGGAGGTGCGGGAGAGTCTGGCTCCCTGCATTAGCTCGGGAAGCGGGCACACAGCCAAGCCCAAACGCCACCTAATTCGCATTCAGTGCTGAATTCAGCAGGTGGGGAAAGGGGAAAAAAAGAGCCTTTGCAGTTTTCTTTGCTGATTAAAGTCATGGCACAGCAAGTTTCACCTACGTTCGTTAGCAAGAGGGGAGGGAGGGGGATGTTCCAAGTAGCAGCTGCTGTGATGCTCCTCATGCACCTCCAAACAAAAGAGGCAGTGGGCACAGATCAAACCTCTTGACTGTGACCCCTGCTGCACGGGCTGGATGCAGCCCTAGGGCCCTGCATCCATCTTCCTCTCTCTGGCATTAGCCTACCCTTCCATGATGGCCTCAGGTACAGTCTGTCAGGTCAGCCTATCTGAAATAAACTCCACAACAGTCTCTCTTTCTTTCAGATCATCCATCAGTCCTTCTAAGAAACAGCGTAAGCTAATCCCCCTCAGAGACAGGTGATGGGAGTGGTCAGGGATACTCCCAGTGAAGCATCCTGATGCCATGGGACACGCCTGCCACGCTTTCTGGTACTCACTGCTGCAGCATCATCAGGTTGCTGGTGAGCCCTGCCAAGCCCTGTCTGCTGCTCCTTCCCTCCCTCCCTCCCTCCCTCTCTCCTTCCCTCCCTCCCTCTCTCCTTCCCTCCACACTTCCCACTGCCTGCAATATTCACCCTCGAGTTTCTCTTCAACTGGACCAGCAGACAATCTGGTGGGGATCCAGGCCAGCCATGGTCACAAGGCTGCATCACAGCCTGATTACGGGGTGACACAAAGCCCAGGACCTGTGTTCACTTGTTCACTCTCCCAGCAAAGCTGCTGCTGCCAGTTCTGTCCTGCTTTCCCTGGCTGCAGCAGCCTTTTATTCATTGTGCTGGCCTCCTGTGCCCTTCAGAGAGGTGCTCATGTGAAGTGCCATCCACTCACACCCGAGGCTTTGTGGCTGTTGGCAGGAGGACAGGAGCAGTGTGGTGGTTGCTCCAGCAGGATCACCCCCAGCCAAATTTCAGCTCCTCCACCCAGTCCTTTGCTTCTACTTCCTGATGTCTTGTCAGCTCCAATTGTCCTGATTAGAGCTGATTAATTACCCGGGCCACCCTCCCAGTTGGTTAAAGTAATTAGCACCCTGGGAACAGCAGCATGGATACCCAGTGGTGGTCTCCCTTCCATTGCAGGGAATTCAGTACACACCTCCCCACTGGGCATCCTCAAGAACAGAAACCTGTGAGGTGCCACCCCGGGCTCCTGTGGGACCCAGCAGGTCCTCTTGGCCCAGGTCTGGTCCACACTCTACAGCCCTGGCTTAGCTTCCTTCTGCTCCTGCCGAAGGCAGAACATCCCAGGGAGCTGCCAAGAGGGGGAAGGGGAGAAAGAAATCAGTGTAACTCCAGTAAATGAAAGATTAAACATAATGCCAAGTAAATTAATATACAAGAAGAGGAGGCAGGTTTTAAATTAACTCATTACGCTGCTTGGCTTTCCAACTCATTTATTTATCCCATAGGTCCTGCAGCTTCATATGGAAAATGGCTTCTGCTTGACTGCTATCACAGCCCAAATGCAGCGCGACGTGGCTGCACAGCGGCCGCCGGAGGCTGGCAGGCGACACCTGAGCGTGCCCATGGATATGTGCGGGGACGGGTAATTGCACATGCAAAACGCTCGGCTGTGACAGGAAACAGGACGATTGAGCAGAGAAATGGGAATCCATTTCCATGCACAATTACCTGGGGAGGGCTAAACCACGGCTACAGGAGGCAACAGGGACGGGTCGCCCCCATCTCCCCCTCGCAGAGTGCTGGATGTGCCGTGTGAGAGCTGCCGCCTCTCTGCGCCGCCTGTTTCCCTGGGGAGCAGGGCATTTCCATCCTCCCAGGAACCGGGGAGGTGTGCCGAGCTGGATGAGCTCGGTGCTTATTACTGGGTTATTGTGATGACGGAGCAGATGGCTTATTGAACAAGCTGTTCTTTGGGGGAGACTTTCTGGGAAAAGGGGCAGGGAAGGAAGTGGGTAGTTTGAGCCCCTTTGTTTGGGAAGTGGCTGCGATCAGGCTGTAGCCTTTTCTACAGCATCTCTCTTATTCAGGAATTGCTGTTCCCAGATCTTACTGATGAGCTGGATCTGGTTCATAATAGAGGATAATAAATAAAAGGGCAAGGGGAAAAAAGAAAAAGCCCAGACCTCATTCTCTTCCCAGTGCTTCCCCTCGAGCTGACAAACAAAAGCCAAGCTGCATGGCAGGATGCTCAGAGCTGTGGAGAGGCGGCTGGTGTTGGAGGCAGATGCAGGCTCCCCGGGGACTCTGCATGCTGGGAGCAAGGTCTGGTGCTGGCTCTGCTGAGGGGAGCCACACAGGCCAGGCCAGCAGCCAGCCGGGAGCTTGGCTCTGTCCCCGCTCCTGCTTGCAGGCTTTACTGCACTACAATTCCCAGCAGCCTGCAGGAGAACCTTTGCCTTGGAAAGCAGCATCAAACGGGCCACGAAAAAGCACTTGGGGGGGAACGGGCTCAGTGTTGACTGATGGAGATGGATGCAGGCAGTGAGGCAGCACCAGGAGTTTTTAAGGACAAGAAGAGTGCTTGGGGACAGGGTTCCTTCCCAGCAGCACTGCAGCGGGCAGGGCAGGACTGGGAGCAGGGTAGTGGGATCACCTCTTGCACCCTCCCACATCCTCCCAGGATGATCGTAATGCTTTGCAGCCAGGATCTTCTGCTCTTCTGGCTGGGCAGGGAGAGGAGATGGTCCTGGATGGTTCAGGAAAGGCCTCTTCTGGCCCAGTCTGGGGGGATCGACATGGGGGTCACCTCTGTGTTGGGGCTGAAGCAAAACCTATCTCTCCAAGGACTCTGAGGACGATGATACTGTAGTCCTGGATTCACGTGGGAAGTCCTGGAAGGAGGCAGTCCACAGCCCCCTCCACACGTGCCTCTAATCACACCTTCAGCTCTAGGAGCACCAGCCCTATTTTCCCCCATTCATAATTCAGCCTGACACAGCCCAGCAAAAATCAATTCACTCTTATAAGAAAGTGCCAAGGCAAATTATTTCCCAAAGCCTTCGACAGGGCTTTCTTCTCTCCCAACAACTGTATCTTTGGTGTTGAGTCCTAAATTACAGATTAACCCTTTGAGCTCTTCCAGTTTGCTGCAGAACCCAGGCAGACAGGTGATTAATGAAGCCATCGGCAAGAGCACCTTGTCACCTTGTTGCCCATCCGTTAGGGGATGGGCCCATCTAGCTCTGAGGCCATCCATTTGTCCTTCCCTAAATCATCCCTCTAGACATTCTGCCACCTGTGCAACCCTCACTATATGACCTTGTCAGGGAAGCAAGCAAAGCAAGCGCTGCCTCAATTCCTAGCTGTTCAGGCATTTGGGAAACCCTTCCCTGGAGATTTCTGTCTGGTCTTTCCCAAGGCAGTTTGTGGCCATCAGAGGACTTTTTTTTCCTTTTCACAGTGTCCTGGTAAAGTCATCATAGGGGAAAACCCAGCTTAGCCTTGAAAGCTGCATCCCACTAGCAGGGTCCAGCCCTGATGTGTGCTGTGTCCTGCAGCATCCCAGGTGAGACCCCTGGGAGCACCCACCAGCTCCTGGCAGAGCATCTATCACCCCTGGTCTAAGCAGACATGGGAGAAAAATACCAGAATGCTAAAAAGCCTTCAAATCTGCTCAGTGAAAAGGCTTTCCCTAGCCTTGGACCACAAATGTTGGAAATCAGAGGGAGCCCATGAGAGAGCCAAAAAAGAGAGGGGGATGGAGAAACGGATCAGAGTTGTAAACTGGCTGGAAATCAGTCCCTTCATTATCACAAACACATGATCAGAACTTAATAGTATTTGACTTTTCATTAATTTAAAACAGGAGTCTCGGGAAGAGAGAGAGAAAAAGAAAGAACATTATTAATTTTAAAGACCTCCTCCCAGAAGGGCTCACATTGAAAAAGAAAAATGTCAGAAGAAAATTGTTTCTTTATATTTTTCCTCGCTTTCTTCATCTATCTTTTTTTCCTATAGCTTGGAACAGGTTGATAGGCATGGAAAACTCCAGGCTAGGCTTCCCATGCCTTCCCCAGCTCCAAGTGGGGAATGTTCAAAGACCTGCCCGGGCCTGGGCTACCACGGGGTGGATGCAGGGTGGGATGCAGGATGCACATGGCATAGCCAGGTGTCCCTACAGAACCAGCAAAAGCCATGTGATGTTAGTAACTCATGGACAGGTTCTCACAGCCTTGGGAGGTGCCTACAGCCATTGCCCAACAGCGTCCGTCAGTCCTGCATCCACCAGTGGGACAGGAGCTGAGGACCAAAATAGCCCCAAATCCAACAGCACCCTCAGCAGCTGCAGGGAGGGGGGATATCTTCTCCTTGCTCCCCTGCCAACGAGGAGATGAAGGCAAAGCTGCCAAAAATAAAACGATTCAGGACACCGTCTCTATAGAAAGGGCAGATGGATGGCGCTGGGGCTGCGCTTGAAAAGGCAGATCTAAAAGGATGGAATTAAAGAGACTTTGGAGAATGAGAGGCTTTTTGCTAAAGCCGATGTGCTGCTCTGCAGATAAGGCTCTGCAGGTGGAGTGGAAGGCATCCTTTGGATCTAATTGGGAAAGGGAAAAACCCACCTCAACTGTCCCCAGATGCCCTTGGCAGTGGGAAGGTGGCTTCCCTCGCTCCTCCAGCTCCCACCACGAACTTTTTAAAAGCCACTTCTGCATCTTGTCCTGGTGTTTTAAGATAATTCAGTAATCTTAGGCAATTATTTCAAAGAATTTTTGAAATTGTTCTATTTTTCCCCTTTCAGTGCAGCCACACATCACAATGCCCAAAAAGCCACCCAGCTGCCTGCGGGCTGGCCAATTTAGCTCCATGGATTTTGACTGCTTTCTCAAGTCCCACTATTGATTTTCTGCTGGGTCCAGCTGAGAATTCAGCTTATTATAAAAATCACAACTGGGACAGAGTTATGCCGCCAGTGCTGCCTCCAGATGAGGCTTCCACCTTCCCTGAGCATGTGTCCTGCTGCCTCACAGGTCCTGTGCTTTTAGGGCTGATGGGGTGGTGTGACCCCTTGATAAAGGAAGGACATTTCCCTGGCTTCCCCAGCGATTCCCAGGGTTTGCTTCCTGCTGGGGATTACCTATTTCTCATTTCATGCCCTGTATAACAGCATTCGCTCTCACCTGATTCCAGCATGGATAATTTTAAGCCCCCACTTTCTCCCTTCAGCCAAGGACTTCATCTGCTGCCAAGGAAGCTGGTGGTTTCAAGAGCTGGGCCAGGTGACTTGCCTTAAGGCAGATGCTCAGTGCTACTCAGCCAGATGAAAATGGGGAAATAATAGAAAAAACAATGATTTTTACACTGAGCCTCTCGTACCAGCTCCCAACCTCACCATCTCAGTGCTGTGCCCAGAGAACAGCAGAGAACAGCCCCATGCCATCAGCTCCCCCCAGCTAACTGGGTTTTACTCCTCATTGCTATCCAACATGCTCTGGAAGGGGTAAGGAGGCACTAGAGATGCTGAAGCCACCCCACAATGGCTTTGGCTTTTGTTCCCTTTTATTGCTGCCTCCTGACAGAGCAAGAACACAGAGGGGATATTTATGAGTCCTACCAGCAGTGGGGTTGGCTCTGGGCTGTGTTTAAAGCATCTCCGCTGTTTCCCAGCTTTAACCACCTCCTGGATATTTACAGCATTTGACAGCTGGAGACAGAGTCAGGCCAAAGTGCTTGTCTGCTTCCATGAACAACCTGCATCTTGGGGGAAAATTGTTAGGGGATACTGGAGGAGAGGAGAGAGGAGCTACTGTGAGGAAGCATGGCCATTTCTTCACCACAGCAGGTCCCCCTCCCCAAATCCCCATGCAGGCATGGCCAGGAGGAGCTGGGAAAGGACACACTATACACACATTATAACAGTGTGTTCCCAGTTTGCCCCCCCCCAGTCCCTCACTTCATGCACAGGGGTTGGGCTGGTTGGGGTTTAGCAGATCTCCTTGTCTTGCCTCTGCTTCCCATCCCAGCTATGGATCTGCCTCATTTTTTTCTCTCTCCCACACCCCCTTTATCTCCTGTTTATTTTTCTTCACTGCTTTTGCATCTTATTCATCTGTCTCTCTTTCCATCTCATCTCCCCAAACCTGAAAGGTTTGTCAGGAGAAGAAAGAGCCAGCCCAGCTTCTCCCAGATCTATTTGCCAAATAAGGCCTGGAGTCAGGTTTTATTTAACAAAAGGAAAATGAACTGGATGCAAGTAGGCCAGAAGAAGCGCCTGCAAATAAAAAGGATGATGGCAAAGAGAAGGATGAACACAGCTGAGAGGCAGAGCATCCCCTTGGGGTCCTGGACACAAGCTCGTTTATGGAGCCCCGGTCCAGTGCTGGGGGAGCCGCCGGCCACAGCCTCGGCTGCTCTGCTCGTTAGCGGCGCTGGAGCAGCGTGACAAATACGGGAGTGTCACGGAAGGTTGGGGAGCAAGTCAGGTGGATAATGAGTTGGGTTAGGGCGTCGTTTGTTTGAAGCCAAAACAGTGGTTTCCTTCCCCCCATCAGCTGTAATGCAATTAGAGAGGCAGCAGCTATCCAGAGCGGAGGCAGCAGCAGACTGGGGAGAGTGAGAAGGAGGAGAAAAGCTGTGAAAACCCCTCCTGCCCCACACCACAGTGTGGGAAGCACAGCCTTAAGGGAGAGAAACTCTGCCAGCGGAGCTAGGGGATATTCTGCCTTATCAGCCCCAGGACATAAAGCCTCAAGCCCCCCAGGCATCCTGGACACAAGTTCAGCTCAGCCTTGACCTGCAGCAAATCTGTCCAGACCCTCTGTCCCTAAATCTTAGCTTGCCTGGTGCCTCCCTTCTCAGCCATGGGTCCCTCAGTGCTGGGGGCCTCTCTGCCCCCAGTTAGCATTGGGTATGGGGGGAGCTTTGCCTTGCCTGATGGCAAACCCTTTTCCATGCCTTACAGGTTGGAGGCATCCCCCACCTTCCTCCAGCCTGCCTAGTCCACTAGTCTTCCTCAGTGATGCCAGAGGAGGGAAGGGCTGGAGGGCCCTATAGTGCCTCTGTAGTACTCATGGGGCTCTTTCAAGAGATCTGGGGGAGATATAAGGCCAGCTCCCCACAGTCTGCACCCTCTCCTGCAAGCCCAAGCTTTCAGGGTTCTTTTTGCACGCAGTTCACTTGAGCAGGCTCAAGGCAGCTGAATCAAAAGCAACTGAAAATACATTTTTGCAGCCTTTCTGGAAAAATAGTCTATAAAGAGGGGCCTGGCCTCGTGCCCAGGGAAGTTAACTTCAATTGACTCGGCTGCATTTCGCCCCAGGCCCTCTCTGGTTTTTCTGGAGCGCCTTGTAATATCGAAGTGCTACTGGGAGGAAATTAAATCCACCACACTCAGCATCAGCTTAAGCCCCTTCCCCCGTGCCACGCTCTTACGCAGGCACCAGAGCATCTTCACCATCACCTGCCTCAGACTGCACCACTGCAAAGACGTGTTCCACGGCATCTGGTACCCGGCTCTCCTCCCAGGAATTTGCTGGTTGTTCACAGCTGTGATTCCTTGCTGCACATCATTCACCAGCCTTGCTCCTGAGATGGCAGGAAAAGAGACCTACAGAAAAAGCACTGTTATAAAGAGTTTGTACATTATATATTTTAGCATCTCCCCATGCATATCATACCTTCTTCCGTCAATACGCTGCAGTAGGAGCCTTAGCGTTTCCTTTAAATTAAACCCTAATTTATCCAGATAAGCAGGGTCTGGGTGGAAAGGCTACTGAATCCCCACACCTTATTGCCATTCCCACTCCTATTCACTATTCCTGGCCGTCGCCAGGTCATTCACACATGCTGGCTTGATTTTCTGGGGGAAAACACAAGCCCAGGTACCTCATTAAGAAGGCTGAGGTGTGGTGCAGCTCCCAGACAGTTGGAGCAGTGGGGCTGGGGCACATCCCTGGTGGCTGGGGGTTTGGGAGGCTCTTGGGGGGTGGATACTGACCCACTGGAGCTGTAGCCCCAAAGCCTCACATCAAGGAAGGGGCTGAATGACCAATGCCTTCTGCTCCCATGGGAACCTGGCACCAATGCTGGCAGCAAGAGGAGCATCTCTGTCACCAAGCCACAACCAGTCTCAGCTCACCTTCTTGCCTTTCCCACAGCTGGAAAAGCTGCCTGGTGAACCCTCTGCCCTGCCTGAAATGTAGTGTTAAACAAAGGCATTCGGCCTTAAATCCCCTTTTACTTCTCCTCATGCCCAGCTTTGGCTGGGAGCTGGGTGTGCTCGACAGCAAACCCACGTACAAGGAAAGCACATCAGCTCCTGGTGGGAAAGTGAATTATTGAAGTCAAGGGAAGCTGTGACGAAGCAGTCAGGGTGGACTGCCTTATGCTCCCAGTGAATTATTCAAAGCCTGGTTTTAAAGCAATTCCTGAAATAAAGATGACAGAGAAAGCAGAGTGAAGAAAAAACTCTGTAAACGGTCACTGTGATGCCTCCCTGAGTGTGGGGACCAGTCTGTCCCTCCATAGGCTGCTGCTGCCCAGCAGAGATGAGCATACACACAAAAATACGCCCTGGATGTATCTTTAATGTTGTTTTATCCTAAAGTCAGACAATTTGGTCTGGATGGGCTGGTTTAACCCCACCGGCGGAAGAGCCAGGCAAAGAAAAGTCCCCACTTCAGAGGACATCCTGCGAATTTTATTTCATGTCAACAGACATGAAAGCAGCAGAGCTGGAAGAGATGTGCGGTGCTGGGAGTGGGCAAAACCAAGCTGAACTGCCTCGAAGGCTCCTAAAAAAAAGCCAAACCACAAAGGGAAACAAGAGGGAAAGAGAAAATGCTTTATTACATCTGTTTGAAGTGAGGAAGATACAGGAATGAGCAAACACTGAACTGTTTTTCTTCTGCTCACAAATGAACACACTGCTAAGCCTAATGGGATTTTAGATTAAAAGTTTTAACGAAAAATAACAACCACCTCCACAAATGGAGTTTTATAAGGTCAAATAACAGATGCAGGGGAGTAAAAGCCAATGCCAGTGTTTTGCCTCCTTCTGCAGGGATCCTTCTCCCAGCCTAAGCCCCCGTGTTCAGGTGTCCTCCTCTAATTCCTGCCTTTATCCTCAGCAGTCATGTTTCCTGCTGAGCATGGCTGGGGAATAATCCTCTGGCATCCTATTTCTGCTATCTTTTCTAGGCAGGGCTTTGCAGGAAGTTTGGTTCCCATGAGCAAAGGCCACCTTTGTGGAGCATCAGGGCTGTGGACAGGGAGCAGAGACTTTACCTGGGTGGCAACAGGAATGTTCCACAGGGAAAGGCGCTTCCCCAAGGGGTTTCCCATCACTCTTGGGGTTACTCTAGCAATGCAGGGCTGCAGCCTGCCTCTACATGCAGTCAGGGCATCGCTTCCCAACAGCCAGTGAGGTTCTAATATGCTCTGATACCCCATTTGCTGATAGGGAAACATCCATTCCACACTCAGGCTGACCCTTTGCCCACCTATTTCTACTGGGCATCAAATGCATGTGCCCCATGACTCATTTTTGGAGGTATCAGGTACTTTCAGCAACAACTGACTTCAAGGACACTGGGGGTTTGCAGCACCCTTGAAAAATTAGGCAACTTCTGCATGCCTAAATAGATGCTTAATGACAGACACTCGTGGGTGAGCACATTGGCAGCAGCCCAGGGCTGGGAGCAGGGTGAACCTGACACTGTCAAGCTGGGTGATGGGCATCACTGCCCCTGCTGCCCACCTTCACTGTGCATCCAGGTTCCTGCACAGAGCTCCTGACAGAGTGCTCCACACGCTCCCTGCTCCCCTGGTGATGTTGCAGCGTGGTGGGGGATGACCTGCACCCACATCTCATCACTTCTGCAAGCTGTCACCTCTAAGATGCCAAACACCTTTGTGCTGCTAACAAAGCCAGGTAGCATTAACTCAGCACTGGAGCTGCCCTGGGGAAGGTGATTTCAGCCATTTCACCCTGAAACAGGCCAGAAATTAGGCAAATTCCCCTCTGTGATATCAGATACCAGCCCTGTAACCTCTGCCTGCCCCTGCCACACCTCCAATGGTACCATGGGAACAGTTGGCTAGGGACCAGCTCCATTGCAGCATGTCCAGATTAATAATAGGATGTGATTTGGATCATGCTTATGCCTTTAAGCTCTTGTTTTCCAAGAGCCCCAGGGTGCTCTCACCCTGCTGCACCCTGCCATCAGCCCAGCAATGCATCCCGTGAGACAGGATGTCCTGGAACCCAGCCATCCCACACACCCCAGCAGCAAGGATGGGCTCTCCCAGACCACACCCCACAGTCCCAAGAGGGAAGGGCAAGGGTGTGAGCATGCAGTATTCTTCTGCAGAGGGATGCTCAGGTGGCTGCTGGAGAGCCATGTGGGGTGGCCAACCCAGGCAGCTCGTGCTGGGGAGTGGATCCTCTCCAGCAGCCGACCTGGACCACTGGGTGATTGAGAAGCATCCTCGGCCTCTCCAGCACTCTCAGCCCCCCTTCTCCCCTGCTGATTGCAATCAACACCTCATTCATACGCCTCTGTTTACCAGTTTTCCAGGAGGTATCATGCTAATGAAGGGAGCCAGGCAATCAAGCAGCCTTCCAGAAGTGGGGAAAAGGAAGAGAGGTAAAGAAGAAAGGGTTGCTGCTGTGAGAAAGAGGGGAAAGGGCCAGGCAGGACTGGAAGAAGGGAGGGAAGAGCCAAATGAGGGGCTCCTGGGGTTTGCCCCACTGTCAGCCCTGCATCCCCTCCTGGTACAGCCATGAGGACAGAGGTGCTGTTACCTGCTGGACAACATCTGCAGCATCCTTGGCAGAGGTGCTGAGATAGCTGGGTACCACACTGTGGAAGGTGAGGATGCTGGCCACAGCACTGCAAGGAAGGTTTACAGCTTCTGAGAAAGTTCAGGTCAACCTCTGGAGAGGACACTGTGAGCCTGGGGTCACAAGTTGTGCTCTGCAATGATATCTGTCCCAGGAATTATAAAAGTGTTGCACAAGCAAAGCCTCCATGCAGGTAATGGAGTTAAAATTGAGTGCCAAGTCCTTTGGGCCACATTCTTAGCTGTCTGCAGGTGGGCATCAGCAGTGCCTGTGGTGGGTTTTCCAGTTCTCCTTACCTGGCACAATGGTGAGATAGGTAGGATGGTTTGCTCCCTTTTCACTGTGAGACCCAAAATAAGGGGTACAATCTTTTGCCCAAAATCCTGCTCTGGCAGCAAGCTGAAAGCCCCCTTGGCCAAGGGGGTCCCCAGGCTGCATCCCCACCTAGCACAGAGGATGAAGGCCAAGCAGATCCATGCAGGCAGAGCTGGCAGAGGAAGGGTGGTTTGGTGCTGGATGGAGAGGCCAGCAGAGTGACAGGCAGGGCTGTGTCCCCTCCATGTCCCCACGCCTTTGGCTGTCTGATTCATGCAGACCAGGAGTGACAGCCTTGCCAGCCATGGCAGCTCCAAGCTGGCAGCACCTGGAGTCCTTTCCCAGCTCCCAGTCTGCTCACCTATCAGTTACCACCAAGGAGGATGCACAGGCATGAGATGGGCAGGGTGGGGACTGCCCACCCCAGAACCACAGCTCACCGGGGTGCCTTGCTCCCACAGGGTTTGGTGTTGAGAGGAGCTGGGAGGCTGGAGGACTGGTGTCTCCCCCTTGCCAACACACCAGCCATAAAGGATTGTCCAGCAGGGTTTGCAAACCCCAAGCTGCCCATAACATGCTGTTGGCAGCCTGTTCTCCCTTCTGCAAGGCTGTGCCTGACTGACTGCCCTCAGGCAGGGTCCAGCTCTGGCCTCGCCACAGATGGAGACAGGCTCTCCATCACCTCCCACTGATTGCTGGAGCAAAGCTGCTTTGGGACAGCTGCCCATTCCCTGTCTTCTGGCTCCTCACTGCCAGGACTACAGGTTCAGGGATGATTTTTGAGGCGAGGTCCTATTTTTCAGAGCAGAAAGTCCCTTGTGGCAGGGTTTCCAGCACTAGTGGACTGGGATCCCATGTGGGGAAGCGGGACCTGAGGGCAGTGCTGGGGCACTGAGGACATCTCCTTGGTAGGAAGCACAGGAGAAAAGATGGCTTACACGTGGCAGTCAGGCAACAAACAACACAGTGGAAGACAGACGTGATTCCAGCCAGATGGAGAAACAGCAACAAACAATCTGTCTCCAGCAGAGGAAGCCCTGACAGCCCCAGCCACCTCGGAGAGGGGAGCATCAGTGAGAGCATCCTTGAGAGGAGAAGGGAGGAGAGGCTTTGCCTGGCACCCAGCTGGGTTTGGAGCCCGCCAGGGCTTTGACACCTCCACTCCAATCCTGGGAGACCACCCCTTTTCCCCCAAGATCTGGTTTCTGGGGCTCTGTGAGCTGCCTGCACTCCCCCCTGCCTGCTAAGCCCCTGGCACAGCTGACTGATGAATGAGCTCTCGACATGATTGATCTCGTTGACAGTATGAAACATGGTGATTACCTGGTGCTGGCAGATTTTCCTAAGTGTAGCTCATGCAGGCACAGGACATTTGTGTCATTATCATTATTAACCCCATTGTTAACGACTAATCCATGCAAAGATTTGGCGCGGCCTCTTGAAGTGCAGGAGGCAGCCTCTGTGTTCATGCTGGAGATGGACCCTGCAACAGAAAAGGGGATTTTTATCCATTTAACATTGTTTTTAATTACTTTCTTTTCTTTGTAGAGACTATTTGTGGAGGTGAGCATCCTCCAGCCGTTCCTGCTCACTCCATTGTCCCCTCAGCCCTGGGTGCTCAGCGTTTCTGGGTGGTCATGACAAGGTATTTCAGGAGCTCTGCCCCATCCATTCCCATTAAAATCCACTGCAGGTCTCAGCTTTCCCTTAGAGAAAAAGAAGTCCAAACCTCTTCTTAAAATGTTTTCTCCCCAAATATCTACCACTTGCCTAACCTAAATTTCAGCCCAGAAACTTAACCACAGTAAACGATCCTTTTTCTCACAGACCCCCCTGGAGAACAGTCGGCATTTTCTCCTTCAAAAGCAGCCATCAGCTGAGACCCAATCAACATCTTTCCTAAAAGGGAAGAAAAAAAAATATAAATAAACCCTCCACAAGGCCTTGTAGCTGATGCTCAAGTCAGGGGATCATTTAGGGGATGATTTATTAAACAGCAAACAGGTAAAAGGGAGACTGGGCTAAAGGGGGAGAGGCACAACAAAACAGGAGGGATTTAGCAGCAAGGCAAAAATAGCCTAAAAACATGGCAAATGAGAAAATAGCGACATTTGCCAACCCCACAAGGATGAGTTAAAATCCTGGCTGGTGTAACTCAGCAGAGAGCCTGGGAAGCCAATGGAGCTGCAGTAATTTACAATAGCTGCTAGTTTGGCTCAATTTAAATAGCTCAGCTTTATGAATACCAGGAATACATGTGCAAAAAAAGAGAGGCAAGTTGGGAAGGTTTATTTACGCTGCAGCTTGGAAGGTGCTTAAAACTGATTTGGAGGCAGGTGAATAATTAATTGCATCTTTAAGGAATCGAGCTGTTAATAATACGCCCCACAGTGGCAGTTTATAAATGTTCCTGTCAGGGTGGAACATGGAGCATCACAGAGGGAAGGTTTGGGGGGGGTGGGGGTAAAAAAGCCTGGAGGAAACTCTTCCCCCCGCTCCCCTGCCTGCAAAACGAATTAAAGTTGCCATTTTTTCTGCCACCCAGCTGTTCCTGACACCTGGATGACAAATCAATATTATAATGACAGCACCACAGCCAAAAAATAAAAAAAAAGGAAATAAAAAAGTCCTATTACTACGTGGAAAATATATATATTGCCTCCCACTCTGCAGGGCACAGCCTGTTAATTGGGCACAAAGGGTAGGATCTGCCTGAAGCCTGCAGAACCCATTAGGGAAGCACATGATAATGTTATTATGAAATTCAGCAAACGGATGCAGCAAGGGGAAGGGGGTCCTGAGCAGTGCACGAGTTGGCCCCTCCTGCTTCTGGACCTCCTGCTGCACCCATCCATCCCTTCTTCTGTTGTTCTGTCCTTCTATCCATCCCTCCCTCCATCCTGAGGACCCTGTCACCAGAAAGTACTTGCAGAAGTGGGATGCACGAGGAAACAGGTGCCTTCACGCCACTTTCTCCAGTTAATCTCCCCCAGCCAGGAGAATCCAAAACTGTACCAGCCAGCACCGCCAGGGCTACAGGGATTAAACCAGCAAAAATCTCCAGAGCCAGGAATTTTACACTACAGGACGGGAATAAGCCTCTAATAAGGAGCTGGGAAGGAAGACCTGGGGGGAAAGCTGGTTTCTTTAGGGAACAGTTGGCTGAGAGAGGGATTTGGCCCTGGGAAACCTAAACCCCCGTGTGAGTGGTCGCGGCAGAGCAGGGGCTGGCTGGGGGCATTGCTGAGCAAGCCCAGCCTCAGGGGTGGCAGCAGCCCCTCCACTCCCACCCAGGATGGGGGCAAGAATAGCCAATGTTTTGCTCATGCCCTCTTTAGGTGTTTCCCTCCTCTTTATTCCAGCAAGGGACAAAGCCATCACTCCTCACCTTTCCAATCACTCAAGCCACATCCCAGGACCCACGTGCAGGGGAAAGGGATGGCAAGGGAGCTCCATACTGATGGTTCCCAGCTTCTCCTCCTCTCCCAATCCACCTCTGAGGTGGAAAATCAGCGCTTGCTGAACCCTGCCTTGTTTTCCATGATTAATCATTTTGCTTGAGAGCAGCAGGATTCCCACCGTCATCCACCCCCCCCAACAGCCACGTGTGAAGGCTGACGTTAATCAGATAAATTCCTTTGCAGTAGCACCAACAATTTTTCTAAAGCACAGTCTCCCTGGAGCTACTAATAATTACTCCAGATCCAGACATTAAAGCACCACCGAAAAAAAATGTTTTTAATTAAAAAATTAATTTTTCTGACAGACCCACTGACGCTAAACTTGGAACAGCAAAGCATTCATCAGCAGGGAAAAAAGAGGGATGGCAATGACCTGCTCACAAGCCTCTGCTGGGAAAGGGGCAAAGAGTATTGCATCCCTCAGGGCTTTGGAGAAGATATCCCATCTCCAAATGTCCTGTAATGTCCCTGCTTTGTACAACACACCTCAAAAGGGGCAGAGTTAAGGTGATGCCCAGCCCAATGACTGCAATCCCAATTGCACCTTTCCCAAAAAAATACCTCTGCGCTGCTGGCCAAGGGAACATGGAGCCAGGAAAGAACTGTATCTCCAAATCCCATCTCCCTAAGCCCCTGGGAACTAGATCATACTAACAGGACATCTCCAGCCCCATCAGGAGTAGGATGAACCCTACAGAGTCATCTCCTTCCCTGGAGGCACCTGAACCCTCCGGCCAGTCTGCCCTGGGCTGGCAGGGTAAAGGAGAGGAGAGAATGGAAATAAAAACACATCATCAGTGGGAAAAAATTGCATTACTTCAAAGGGTTTTTGATGGGGAAAAGGGGAAAAAGGTGCAGATTCCCTCAGACCCAGTTTGGGTGGCCAGGCTGAGATGCAGGAACAGTAATACAGTGTCCAGTAATGAAAAAAACTGATTTGATGCTCTGGTGAGCTCTCTCACAATTCCTGGGGTTACTAATCATGGCAATGCTTTAGCCCTCCTTCCCTCCAGCTGCCTCTCATCCAGGGGGCTCAGGCTCAGGATAAAATGAACCTCTTCCCTTCCCCTCACCAGCGCCAAAGTTTGCAGAAGAGGGCAGTGAGCGTCCCTGTCCCACAGGTTCTGAGGGTGTTTTACACAAGCCTGACAGAGAAACATGGCCAGCGGCGAGCTGCTAACAAAAGATGCTTTATTGCAGGAGGATGAAAGGCAGGATGGATCGAGGCAGCAGCTGGATTAATTGGATATGGGAAAATACCTAAATATATACATGGAGGGAGAAGCACTGAGCTGCTCTGGCGAGATTGCATTCAGGAAAAGCCAAATCGATGGCCTCAGATAAAGGTGCTGAGAGCTGATTCCTCAGTTGCCAGTGGTGCTGCCAGCCTTCTGTGAAAGAGGCAGAGGCAAAAAAGCCCCCAGAACTTCTGGAAACATCCTCTGTACCTCCCAAAGGGCCCCAAGGCATCAAGGGAGGAATACTCACCTCCAGTGATGAGCCTGGGGTTCAGGCAGGACCTTCCCTCCTCCTGGCCTAAGAGCCCGCTAATGAATTCACTGAAGTCAGTCCATGAGATCTGGGAAATACAAAAGGTTGAATGAATTTGAGTTGCTTAACCCAGAGAAGAGATTGTCAAGGGCAAAACTGAGTCTGCAAATACAGAAGGTGATGGCTGCAAAGTGGGAGAGAAAGCCTGTTCCCTGCATCCAGTGTGTGGAGGAGAAAAAGGGATGGGTTAGATGTTAGGGAACCCCTTTCCAGCAGCACTGGGGAGGATCTAGGCAGCCCAGGTCCCATAAATGGCTAGTTTTTAATGAGGAAAGCTGAATTTTTTTGCAGCTACATCTAGAAGACCATTTCCCAGGGCAGGTGGATTGCTGGTATGATGTGAATAATTACACCAGTCCATCTTCCCACCGCTCCCTGAAACATCACACACCCAAACACAGGAGCTTGGCCTCTGTTAGAGCAGAGACAGGAAAAGGAATATGACTTCATTTTCCATCAGCTCATCAAACAGGTGAGCAAACAACCTTCAGAACCATTAGTCTTCACGCACAGTGAGCAGAGATTAACAGGGATTTATCTTTGCACTCCCCTTGGTAAGCACCCACCTGCCCAAGTTGGAAGGATACGGGGGGGGGGGGGGGGGGGGAGGGAGCAAGGAAAACATCTGTGGGACCTTGGGAACCACAATTCATTGCTTTCCACCTCTCTTTGAAGATAATTCGGGGGCTAGAAATCTTTTGGAAACCTTGGACCCATCGCTGCCTTCCCATGCCTCACTTCTGCATTATTATGGTGCATTTCCCTCTTTCTTAAAAACAAAACAAAACAAAAAAATCTCCCAAAAAAAGGCAAAAAACCCCAACCCCAACCCCTCAGCTTTTCTGGAATAAGGGAAGAATATTTCTGCTCACTTGAAAGCCTTCAAAATCAATACATCACCTACCTGCAATAATCCCACACTTCAGGAAATTGCTTGGAATCACATCTATTTGGGGTAGACAATAATTTAGACTAGGTTCCCCTAGGACTTTCTCCTCTGTACATGTGTGGATCAGTCCTGGAAGCAGCAGGTTGATGCAGCAGGTACATAAAAACCCTTGGATAGAAGCCTGGCTCTGCCTCTCACCCACCTCACAGCTGGCCCTGCCCCTGCTGGCTCCAGCCCCATCTGATTTCCAGGCCCTATCACTTCTTAACATATTTTTTTTTCCCTGAACTCTTGAAATTAAATGCTGTTAATTTATTTTGCAGAAAACTCCACAATCTGCTGGTACTTCTCTGCCAGCTGTGACCTCATCCCCCAGTGATTGGATTTGGGAGTAAATTAATAGAACCAGTTCATTAATTAATTGCAACTAACTTGTGCGGTGAACTGGACCCATCTCTCATGTTCACAGACTGCCCAGGAACTGCTCTAGATTCCTGCTCAGGAAGCACTTACTATGTTTTAATTTAAGCTGAGTGGTTTGGATGAGCACTTCCAGTGTTCCAGCTGTTAGCAAACAGCAAACCTTCAATTAGCCCGTGTTCAGCTGCTGTATCTGACCCACAAAATAAAGGGGAAACCCTGAAAACAGCATTCCCAGGCATCAAAGTTTCTATGGCCAAGGATAAGGCTGAGCATCTTGGATGCTCCTACATCCTATTGTCGACAGAAGCCAGCAGCAAGCAAATGCTCCAGCAAAATCTCTAAACACTGCACATATATTCTGGGTTTACTCACTGGGCTTACCACTGAATCTTATTTGCTGGCATGGTTTGGGTTTTTTTTCTTTCCTTCCTTCTCCCTGGGAGAACTTAATAAATCTTTGAAATCATCAAAAAGAAATGCAGCTTCAACACTTAGCATGGTTAAGTTACTTCCCAGCAATATAAACTAAGGCTGTAAAGTCAAACATTTCCATGGCATCACATGAGGCAAAAATGAGGGTTTTGGAGGAGAGGGAGCAGCAGGAACAGCCTCACCTCAGCTCTCCCATCGCTCTGGGCCAGACAAGCCTAGAAAGCCTGTGGCTGGCTGCTGGTGGGTACGGGGATGTCACTCCCCTCCTGCTACACGCAGCAGTTTCAGCTCTTCTCATTACAGTGGTTGTCTCTGCGTGACCCCACCCCGAGGCAGGCGCCGGCTTGATGAAGCACAGCACCTCCGAGGCACGAGCACTGGCAGCTGCAATAAGGGACCAGCAGAGACAGATTGACTAGCCAGGCAATGCCCACCTCCTCCCTCTCTTTGTCTGTTAATAATGTTTTGTCCAGTGTTAGACAGATGGGAGAACCCCCTTCAAAACCCAAGAGAGGAGGCTGGTGGCACTCACCAGCTGCAGGACCAGGGAGGGAGGCAGGCAGGACAGGGGTGGATGCAAGCCTGGTCCCAGGACCAGGCTAGGATTGATTCAAGCAGGATCAGGGCAGGATGGAGACAGGAAGGATGAGGGCAGTATCAAGGCAGGATGCAGGCAGGACCAGGGATGGGTATGGCAGGACCAGGGTACGATCCAGGCAGGCAGGACCAGGGACAGACACAGGCAGCACCAGAGCAAGATGCAGGGAGAGATACAGGCAGGACCATGGATGGATGCAGGCGGTGTTACCATGGCAACACAACAAAAAAGCAGCACGGCCACAGCTCCAAGAGCAGAAGGGGGTCAGGAGAAACTTTGATGCTGGGGAGGACACAGCTCCTCCAGCACCAGAGAGAAGTTGGGTTTCCCACCACAGGATGTGGCACCCACAAAACCCCTCCACCCTGGCAGCTCGGGGTGCCCTGGGGACCCCAGATGCAGGTCCTGGTAGTGGGGTCCCTCACCCCTCCCCAATGCCAGGGAGCTGTGGGTAATTGTGATGCAGAGAGCTGAGGCTGTGCCATGCCCTTGATTTACTCTCTCCAGCCTCCTGCTTTCTAAATCTCACTTTATTAGTATTACCGCACAGCAGAGTGCAATTAGCAGTATATTAGCAATAAAAAAGCAGCCAGAGCCAGAAGTACCGCAGGTTATGGTTTTAAATCCTGCATCTGACAGGATGACTGTGGGCACACACTCTCCCTGTGACCCCTCAGCCCAGGCTGCAGTGTCACCTATCCCCACGGGCAAAGGGGTCTCCAGTAGCTAATACCCCCTGTCCAGAGCTTTTATGGGTGCTGCAGCAGAGCTGACACTAGTCCTGGCCACATTTAACCATTTATATTGATTACCCTGTCAGCTCATTTGAATAATTAAAACCAGATGGAGTCCTTTTAAGTGTTTAAGGGAACAGCACCAGGAGAATCCCCAGAGCTGTGTGGTTTCAGCAGAAGGGTTCAGGGGAAGCCAGGCAGCTTTTGCTGTAAAAATCTTCCTCTCGGTGACATTTGCCACCCTGTGAGGTACCTCCCATGTCCCTGCTGCCAGGGGTGGGGTGGTGAAATCAGCACAGTTTCCTCCCCAGGGCACATTGGTAGGAATAATTGTTCTTGTACACTGTTGCCATTCCTTATATAAACAGCATTAAAGCTGCCAGCCAGCCACAAGCCTGATAAACGGCAGCAAATAAATGAACCCAGTGCCATTATCCCAATATTCCAGTGTGTGTAGGGATGGCAGGGGGGCCCAGCATCCAGCCCCACTTTGGCATCGTGACTCTCAGCTCCTGCTTCAAATCTCACCCACCTGCAAGGCAAAGCAAAGCTCTCACAGCAGGTCTCTTGCCAGGGACCTCTGCCTTCTTAAAATGGATGGGTGATACCAGCTCAACTCTGGTTACTTGTTATTCCATCGTCTTTTCAAAGGGAGTAAAATATTCCCGGCATGGCGCTGGTTATGCACTCCTGCCATCATGCAAGGATGAGTTATCTTTACAGAAAGAAGCAGAGATTAATATGTCAAATGAAAATGAACTATCAGCAGAATAAGATGAAAATGCAATGGCCAGTGACAGAAAAGGAGGAGAAAAAAGAAAACAAAGCTTTTTGGGAGGACAGGAACATTAAAAATTGAGGAACTGATCAGTGTTGGTGAAGGTGGATGGAGTCTGAACGCCCTGCACAGGGCAGGGACCTTCTTCTCCTGCCAGAGCAGAGCACCACAGCTTCAGCATGGCTGGGGTTTCTCCTTGGGACCTGGTCCCACCATTCTCAGAATGTCAGAGGTAAAGGGGGGGTTCCCCAGGGGCAAGTGAGCAGCTGGTGGGAGGCTGGGGTGCTCGTGGCAGCTCTCCCCTTGCAGCACACCACCCCTGACACTGGCTCTGTTCAAAACCTCATGCCTCAGGCTGCTTTGAAGCTTTTGGACCAGCTGCAGAAGATGCTGGCAACAGGACACTTTAGTGGGTCTCCATCCCACCAACAGCACATACCCTCCCTTTCCCCAAAACTACCAGTGCCCTGCCCCCTGCTCTTGGCACCCCATCTGCCCCTCAAAGCAGCATCCAGCCCTGCTGTGCTTTCCCAGCCCCAGAGCCAACCATCAGAAACAAACACCACTCCAAAATATTTTTTCAAGCAGGAATGGATGTGCTCCAGCAGTGGCACAGACACCTCACAGTTTACAGGTGTTTATTGTCTGGGATAAGCAATTGAGCCAAGTAGGTTTCATTTAGACATATTTCCAGTACCTGGAAATAGCTATTTACACTGTCCCAGTGTTTTGACATGGTTAGGTGCCTGGATTTTGATGGGTCAAGCCCCTGAGCAGCAGGCTGGCAGGTTTCTGTTTCCTCTCCTCCCAGCAGACTCTCATGCCCAGGCACCAGGATGGGGATGCAGGCCCACAGTGCTGGGCAGAGTCCCACAGGCTCCCCTGCCCTCCAGCTCCTCAGCAGGGAAAAGAGGCCAAAACGATCCCTTTCCCTGCCTACTGCTCGCTTCCTCTCAGAGATAAGAATTAATTAAATTTCCCTGCCTTTATAACTGCCTGGGGAATTTATCAGCTCCTTCCACCACAGGGTCCATCTGATTTAAGTGGGGGGGGGATATGGATATACTGTTACACATGTCCTAATATTGCAGATGGGATATCATCCCTGAGCACTGAACAAATTGCAACAGGAATATTTGCAGAGTTGCTTCTTCATTCTCCAATCCCTG